ACACCCATTGTAGTATTTTTACACCCATTGTAGTATTTTTACACCGATTATTGTAGTATTTTTCCAAACATTGTAGTAATTTTACACCCATTGTAGTATTGTTTACAAACAATAAGTAGTAATTTTACACCCATTGTAGTATTTTTACACCCATTGTAGTATTTTTACACCCATTGTAGTATTTTTACACCCATTGTAGTATTGTTCACAAACAGTAAGTAGTAATTTTACACCCATTGTAGTATTTTTACACCCATTGTAGTATTTTTACACCCATTGTAGTATTGTTTACAAACATTGTAGTAATTTTACACCCATTGTAGTATTTTTACACCCATTGTAGTATTGTTTACAAACAGTAAGTAGTAATTTTACACCCATTGTAGTATTTTTACACCCATTGTAGTATTTTTTACACTTTTCTGCTTTTTACAAAGAAACGGCTTGGCTGATCGTCGCACAAGACTGAGAAACGCTAGTCCTCATCAAGATACATCGAATGGCTTCTAAATTTTTGAAATCGGTCTAGTCGTTTTTGAGAAAACGTCGATTTAAGGTAAAAAATCTGTTCACACACATTCACACACATACTTTTTCTAAATTTGATCTCAAACGATTCAGAATAACGTCCAGGAAAACATAAATTTAGCATATCATATTTTTTACCAAAAACTCTTGGAAAAGTTAATAAGAATATATAAATGCATAAGAAATTTTGTGCATAGAAAAATTCTTTTACTCACTGTGATCCTCGTTCAACTTTTCTGCAAAGGACAAATTCCGGCATGTGATCATCAGTCATCGCCTTGGTTTTTGTTAAATACTCCATATTCAATCTTGAAAGCTTGACAGTCAACAGTGTATGTTGCAGTGTAGTCATCAATAAAAAGTCACTATGTAAATAAAACGATGTGACATTATTAGCAATCTCAACAGTATTATATAAAACCTATTTCTCTCGGTTAGACCAAATGTAAAAGACTCTTCATCCAGGATAATGGACTTTACTTTAACACAAGGCTGTGGTAGATTGAATAACGGCTGTGGTAACTCTATGTCTAGATTTAGGGTAAATAAAGACCCATTTAGGGATTGTAGTACTGCTGTGTTTGCAGATGTTCGTTCAATGGATATTATAACGTCTTCAAAGCTTATTTCTTTCTTTAATTTCATCTTGCATAACTCGTCTGTTACTTTTAAATCAACAAGCATAATTTTGGTACTGTTTGTACCAGAGTTCATAGCCACTATTGTATTATCATTAATCCAGCACCAGTGATTCCAAAACAATGGACTGGCATTATCTTTATCATCACAATCGATACGGCACGGTGGAAAAGTTTTGACATCCAAGACTTTAACACCATCGAATTCGGGTTTGCAAAACATAATACTATTATCATCCAAGACAGCAAAGAACATGTTGCTGTTGATTTTTGTTTCAGAGTTCTCTAAATCTAAATTGCTTGGAGCGTAGACAATATGGTTTACAAATTTTGGACAGTTGATTATCGATGAAGCCATTGGTGGAGGGACGCATACGCCTCTAAAATTTGTGAATAAAATTTTATCTCCATCTATAACAGATACGCAAGATCCATCGTCTTCATCTAAACCGTAACTGTGGTTTATTGTTCCTTCCCACCTGGAAGAAATAATAATTATAAATTAAAATAAATGTATTATATAATTTAATGCATTCATTATTTAATATATATATATATATATTATATATTTGTTTTTTATTATTTTAGTTAATTTTAATTGTTTTGAAAGTTCTAAAAAAAATGATATTTTGGAAGTTCTAACAAAAGTTAAGGTTTTGGAAGTTCTAAAAATAATTGAGATTTTGGAAGTTCTAAGAAAAATTGATATTTTAGAAGTTCTAAAAAAAATTGAGATTTTCCAAGTTCTAAAAAAATTTGAGATTTTGAAAACCTAAAAAAAAATTGGTATTTTAAAAGTTCTAAAAAAATTGAGATTTTGGAAGTTCTAAACGAAATTGTGATTTTGTAAGTTCTAAAAAAAATTGAAATTTTGGAAGTTCTAAACAAACTTGTGATTTTGTAAGTTCTAAAAAAAATTGAAATTTTGAAAGTTCTAAAATAACTTGAAATTTTGAAAGTTCTAAAAAAAAATTGAATTTTGGAAGTTCTAAAAAAATTTAGATTTTGGAAGTTCTAAAAAAAATTGAGATTTTGGGAACTCTAAAAAAAATTGAGATTTTGAAAGTTCTATAAGAAATTGAGATTTTGGAAGTTCTAAAGAAAAAATTGAGATTTTGGAAGTTCTAAAAAAATTAAGATTTTGGAAGTTCTAAAAAAATTTGAGACTTTGGAAATTCTAAAAAAAATTGGGATTTTAAAAGTTCTTAAAGAAATTAAGATTTTGAAAGCTCTAAAAAAAAAATGAGATTTTGGAAGTTCTAAAAAAAAATGAGATTTCGAAAGTTCTAAAAAAAATTAAGATTTTGGAAGTTCTAAAAAAATTGAGATTTTTAAACTTCTAAAAAAATTGAGATTTTAGAAGTTCTAAACAAAATTGTGATTTTGGAAGTTCTGAAAAAAATTGAGATTTTGAAAGTTTAAAAAAAAATTGAGATTTTGGAAGTTTTTAAAAAAAATGAGATATTGGTAGTTCTAAGAAAAAATTGAGATTTTAGAAGTTCTGAAAAGAAATGAGATTTTGGAAGTTCTAAAAAAAATTGAGATATTGGATTTCCAAAAAAGAATTGACATTTTGGAAGCTCTTAAAAATTGAGATTTTGGAAATTCTAAAAAAAATTGAGATTTTGAAAGTTCTAAGAAAATTAAGATTTTGGAAGTTCTAAAAAAATTGAGATTTTGGAAGTTCTAAAAAAAATTGAGATTTCGAAGTTCTGAAAAAATTGAGATTTTGGGAGTTCCTACAATTTGCTTCAGGGCACAATGCCATGCACCACTAGTTTTTAGTTATTTTTAATCTTTTTTACAATATAAGTTGTCTGTTTTATAAATTTATAAGTGTTTTTACAAATTTAGCATTTTGTTTCACAAATTTTCAGGGTTTTTTTATATTATAAGTATTTAGCTTAACAATTTTATAAATTTTTCTTATTTCAAATAACAAATTGATAAAAAAAATTCCAATATATACATATGCAAGTCTACTTACAAAACATATGTGATTTTTATCATAAATATTTTCTACCTGTAATACATAAGTTTAGCATCCTCTGTTAAAACATGTAGAGTTTTTCCTTTACCAATTCCAGTATCCCAAAATATGTCAACTGGTCCCGAATTTTTTGGAAATTGCAAACTTTGTTTCAAGTACCAATGATAGTTACCGGTTGTGTATAATAATAGAGACTTTTCACCAGTCGAAACATTCTTAGTTTGCACACAGAGTACTTCCGAATCATTTGACCAGGATAATTTTACCACTTTTATCTAATAAGATGGAATTGACTTATAATATTAATTATATATATATATATATATAATATATATATATATATATACATATATATATATATAATATATATACATATATATATATATATATATATATATATATATATATATTCAGTCTTCATTACTTAATTTTTTGTTACTTTGTTTACCTCTTCATAATTAAAAGGCAAATCGAAAGAGCCGTGCTGCAAACCATTTTTCTCAAAGAACGTAATCACATATTTGTTAGGAAGAGCTTGTGAAGATGCAATTAAATTACCAGACGGTCTCCAGCACAAAGGTCCTCCTAAGCCACTGACATGTTCTGACGTATATTGTAAAACTCCTTCTCTGTTAAAAACCTAAAAACAAAAGAATAGTCAATATGGGGTAAAAAAAAGTTAAGTGTTATATTATCAATTGATTGCGTCTATTTACTACCTTGAATTGTCGACCAGTGGCACTTGGAAATCCTACACAGAATAACGTACTATCACCCCTCCAGCTAATAATCGGCAACACATCACCGTCAATTTGTACAGCATCAGTTTGTTTAGCCTTAGCAGCCTCTTTACCTTCAGAACCATGAAACTGTGTCTCTTTCTTACCCCAACCAACGTTGATAAAATTCTTTTCCCCGAACTCAGCATTTGTCAAATGATATTCAGTCAAAGGAAAATAATCGCTTGTCATTAATATCACACTTAACTGTGCAGTTACAAGAACTAAAAGTTCCTGATCGGGGCTCCATGTAGCTGAAACTAAGCCACTTATACATTCCCCAACTTCTTCAATATCAGGTGTTCCATCGATGTTTAATTCTAACAGTGTCCCACTGCGTTCAGCTATGGATAATTTACGGGAAACTGATAGGAATTCAACATGTACAATTTCTAAGGGGACATTTGCTTGCCAGATCAACAATGGAGGGTTTGTGTCATCTTTATTGACATAGAACAATTTATTTTCGGTGAGCAAATACGAACTTGAACTGTCTGAATCCACTGACAGATATTTACAGTTTTTTATAATCGGTAATGATTTCCATTGGTGCTGGTGCAACGTTAGGTTCCTCATGATTTAAGTTTTATTTTGTTTAATTTTAATATAATTGTGACGTTTAACATAACCTAAAAACATTTGCACACATGAAGCACGTTTACGTTCAAATAGAAGGAGACCAAAGGCTGCCAATATTAAGGAAAAGTTTACTTACGAAGTGCCAACTATAAAAAGAGAGCGGTACGTTCAAATTTAAAATTTACAAAATTTTGTCAACAAAAACTTATGGATAAAAATACACAATCAAGGTATTATGGAGTTAGGCCTAACTTTGATTTTTCTATTTAAATCTGCTAAAAATGATAAAATTCAATACAGATCAAGGACATTATTAGCTGAATAATATTTGCATATTCTTTTCTCAAATCTATTGTAATAAAATATTTCAAATTCAAATATCTTGATGTTTCTATATATAAATTCAATACAGTTCTAATAATCTTGCAAAGATAAAAAAGTTTAGCCAGATAAAAAATTATTATGGTACTTAATATATTAAGTTAGTATAATAAAATTAGTATACTAATTTTTATGTAAATTAAGTATTTATTAACATACCTGTTGCATTATAATGTGTTAGATTTTAACATTTCTCTTGATTTAACAATAAAATCATGGTAATCTTGCATAAGTCATGCTCAAATAGTGGATTATATAAAAGAGTGTACAAATATCCTTTTTAAATAACTTATTTGTGCATTTCTGTGAATTGTATCTTCATCATTAGATTGTAGATGATTCCTCCCATTTTTAAATAAAAACAAATATCCTTCATAAATGACTTAATTTGGTCGTTTTATGAATTGTGTCTTCGTAACATAGTTGAACAGCCTGTCTGTAAATTAAATCAGTTTGCGTGTTGATTTTATGCAATATTTATTATATATAGAAAATTCACATCCTGAGAATTTATCTCATTTTTGTACAAATTAAGATGAATATAAAAATGTGAAATAAATACTGTCTTTCATTAAAAGTGAAAAGTTTAAAATGATTAACAATTGCACTCGTTTTATTCTCAACTTGATTAAAACACATATTAAATTTACTTGATTGTGTGTAATATCTTGATATAAACCTAAACAAATATAATTTTATTATATATTTAATATAGTTGTTCTTATAATTGATAATCATGCAAAGATAAAGAAGCTTATGTGCCCATATGCTTGTTGCCGATAAAAAACTATTGTGTACTAAATACTAATAAGCGTTCAAATAAAATAAGTAATTATTAAGATACCCATTGTATTGATGTAATGAGTTCTTACCAGTTTAACCAAACGAATAATTCAGGTTCTAGAAAATTAATCCAATTGTAGACAATAACTATAAATTCTATATGAATGCAAATATCCTTTATGATTCATATAATGACTTGTAATTGTACTGGTGCAAATGTTTAAATCTTCAAATTGTAGATTATATGCCAGCGAGAACAAAATTTTTTATGAATAACTTATTTTGGCCTTTCTGTGAATTGTATCTACATAACATGGTTATGTTGTTCTCAGTATACAGATTGTGTGTAATATCTTCTTTTAAATCTACATAAACATTATTTTATTATATATTCAATATAGTTATTCTTATTATTAATAATCATGCAAAGGTAGAAAAAAGCTTATGTATGCATACGCTTATACTACACGCTTATACTACTTATACGCGTATACTAAATACTAATAAGTTTATGAGTGAATTAAGCTATTATTTACATACCTATTGTATTAATGTATTAAATTTTTACCAGTTTATCCAGTGAATATAAGTATCCTTTATAAATAATATAACACCTTGCTTTATTTGTACTTCTCTATGAATTTTGTCATCATAACATGGTTATGTTGTTCTGAGTTCTCACTTTGTACATAATATTTTCATTTAAACCTAAATAATCATAATTTTTATTATAAATTTATTGTAATTGTTCTTATAATTAATAATCGTTCAAAGATAGAGAAGCTTGTGCGTGCATATGCTTAAAGATAGAAAAGCTTATGCATGTCGATTAAAAACTATTTTGTACTAAATACTAAAAAGTTTTCGAATAAAATAAGTAATTATTAACATACCCATTGTATTAATGTATTACATTTTTACCAGTTTATCCAGTGAATATAAGTATCCTTTATAATTAATATAACACCTTACTTTATTTATACTTTTCTGTGAATTTTGTCATCATAACAGGGTTATGTTATTCTCATTACTCATTTTGTACATAATATTTTCATTCAAACCTAAATAAACATAATTTTGTATATAAATTAATTGTAGTTGTTCTTATAATTAATAATTCTATAAAAATAGATATGCGATAAAAAACTGATGAAAAACTATTGTGTACTAAATGCTAATAACTTTTTAAATAAATTATTACCATACCCATTATATTGATGTGTTAGGTTTTTATGTTTTTGTACTCAGTAAACACAAATAATCATATTTAATGTTTAAATTTAAATAATACTTGTTGCATTTACAAAATGGACGTTGGTATATGTTTGACATAAGCATGGGAGAAATAAGGGACATAAGGGAGAAAGAATTGGCCTAAAAATTTAGAAAATATATTATTTTATATTATAATATTATTTTTATAGTACTTAAGCAATAAGTATTCGAATTATGATTAATATTTTACGTGTATTTATTTAAATATATTTTGTGCAACAATTTAAATTACTTATAATGTTGGTGACACTGCAACAAATTTTGTGTACTTCACCTTGTTGTCATTTCAAACCAAAAAAATATTGGAAAATGTGTTTATTTATTTATATATTTATTAATATAATTTATAGTTTATATAATATAATAATGTGATAATTTACATCAGTAATAAGTTTACGAACGTTTTTTTAACATTTTGGCGCTTGTCAAATTAGTGTTTGTAAATGCGGTTATGATTTGATTGTCAACATGTAGATTTAGTTTGGAATTTTCTTAATTAATTAGTACAATACGCGGTTTGCAGTGTAATAATTGATATCCAGGTATTATTTAAAGCTATTTTTGGTTAACATCAGTGTGTAGTTATAATCATTTAGTTTAAATTTGTATCTGTGTAATATATGTCACTGACAGATACAAAATCTAAATTGGTAAAAGTTTAGTCACGTTTATAAACTATAGTCACTCAAGGAAAAGTGCTTAATTAGGGTGCGGAATTGAATTTTAACTCGATTTAGCGTATTTATCAAGGCATTTCGCCCATATCGTCTAATTTAAACAGAAATTTCGAACGGGATTTATGTTTTCCTTCAGGAGATGTTTTTCTTCAGCATTTGCATCCGCCATTTTGAATTTGTGCAACAGCTATTAATTTAGCTACTAATCAGCTCGCAGCTCATTAGCGCGTCAGCATCCGAACTGTTAACATCTCCGCGCAGTGCAGTGCTACAAATATTTAAATATTATTATTTTAAATCAAAACAGTGTCTAAAAAGTGTGTTCCAGTATGCAACGAGCATTTTAAATAAGGTAAGTGCTTCTATTTTGTATCATCTTGCACAAATTTTGCATTTTATTAACATGACAAGTGACGCCGTCTGGTTCTGACACCAACGATGTTTTGCGTGCCTTAAAATGTAGTATCCATGCTTTATTTGTTGATTTACGATAAATATATGTAGGTTTATTTGATATTATTGCACTTTTTCCCATTATTTGTTGAGATTTTTGCATTTTTTCGCAATTTAAAATTTGTGTTTTTGGAAAATCCAAGATGGCGGCCATAACCGCAACCGATGGTTTTGTCCTGTTTTAAGCAATACAGTCGTTTCCACGACGTATTGATAATGAAAATTCGATACATTTTGATCTAGTGTATCTATTTACATATAAAAAATAGGTATGTACAGTTTTTTTTGCAAAAAAGCAAACTCAAGTTTTTCGGTGTTGTACCGAAAGAAAATGGCGGCTATTAACTGTCAACTAACGAAAGTTTCAATTGAAATTTTAACAATACAATCGTATCTGCAATGATAATTTAATGATAAATCAATTTCATTTCACGAACTGAATACAATTTTGTATGAAAATTTGAAAATATTTGCAGTTTTTTGCAAACTACGAATCAACCTTATAAGTACCTATACTGTTGAAGAAACTTCAGTTCATATTTTCTTAATTATTATAAATTTTTGTATTGAAAAAATTACATACATTGTTAGAACTGCTTTTTTTATATTGATACTTCAATTTTACGATAAATATAGCAACGAATATTATAAATTGGACGTTTGCTTCTTTCTATTATATTTTTTGGCAACGATATTATAAATTGGACGTTTGCTGCTTTTTATTATATTTTTTTGGCGAACGATATTATAAATTGGACGTTTGCTGCTTTCTATTATATTTTTTTGGCGAACGATATTATAAATTGGACGTTTGCTGCTTTCTATTATATTTTATTGGCGAACGATATTATAAATTGGACGTTTGCTGCTTTATATTATATTTTTTGGCGAACGATATTATAAATTGGACGTTTGCTGCTTTCTATTATATTTTAATGGCAAACGATATTATAAATTGGGCGTTTGCTGTTTTTATTATATTATTGGCAAACGATATTATAAATTGGACGTTTGCTGCTTTCTATTATATTTTTTTGGTGAACGATATTATAAATTGGACGTTTGCTGCTTTCTATTATATTTTTTGGTGAACGATATTATAAATTGGACGTTTGCTGCTTTTATTATATTTTTGGCAAACGATATTATAAATTGGACGTTTGCTGCTTTCTATCATATTTTTTGGCGAACGATATTATAAATTGGACGTTTGCTGCTTTCTATTATATTTTTTGGCGAACGATATTATAAATTGGACTTTTGCTGCTTTCTATTATATTTTTTGGCGAACGATATTATAAATTGGACGTTTGCTGCTTTCTATTATATTTTTGGCGAACGATATTATAAATTGGACGTTTGCTGCTTTCTATTATATTTTTGGCAAACGATATTATAAATTGGACGTTTGCTGCTTCCTATTATATTTTTGGCGAACGATATTATAAATTGGACGTTTGCAGCTTTCTATTATATTTTTGGCGAACGATATTATAAATTGGACGTTTGCTGCTTTTTATTAAATTTTTTGGCGAACGATATTATAAATTGGACGTTTGCTGCTTTCTATTATATTTTATTGGCGAACGATATTATAAATTGGATGTTTGCTAATTGGACAATAAAAAATATTACTATTTTAAATAGTAATTTCTTTAATTAATTTAAATTTCTTTTAATTACAGATATGGGCCAACATCAGTTACAATGATATCAAAATAGATCCTCTGGAACATCCAAAGTCCTCAAAGACGATCATCATCAGTGATGAACATTATCAGGTAAAAATATATTTTTTTTGGCAACGATATTATAAATTGGACGTTTGCTGCTTTCTATTAAATTTTTGGCGAACGATATTATAAATTGGACGTTTGCTGCTTTTAATTATATATTTTGGCGAACGATATTATGAATTGGACGTTTGCAATTTTTATTATATTTTTGGCAGCGATTTTATTAATTGGACGTTTGCTGCTTTTTATTATATTTTTTGGCAAACGATATTATAAATTGCACGTTTTTGCTGCTTTCTATTATATTTTTAGGCAAACGATATTATAAATTGGACGTTTGCTGATTGGACAATAAAAAAATATTACTATTTTAAATAGTAATTCCTTTAATTAATTTAAGTCTCTTTTAATTACAGATATGGGCCAACATCAGTTACATAATGACATCAAAATAGATCCTCTGGAACATCCAAGATCCTCAAAGAGGATCTTCATCAGTACATTATCAGGTACAAATATAATTTTTTTGGCAACGATAATATAAATTTGAAAAATTAATTTTTGGTACGGAAAGTTTTGGCAATTTGTCTTAAGGCACGATGCAATTCAACGTCACACAGAACATCATTTTCAATTAAAAAACACTATTTTCTTTATGAAACTACATATTAAAAATGTTTACTTTAAGATATTTACAGTACTATTAAACTCTAAAAATGCAAACAAAATATACATACATATATATTAACATAATAAAATATGAAAATTTGTTAATAAAAACAATTGACCGTTGAGTTAATATTTCATTCTGCAACAGGTCTTTTGGAAATGGTTTCATAGACATCAGTACGTCTTTGCTTGTACACAGGAATTTGTTCGCGGAAGTCATCAACCGCCTTTTCATCTAAAAATAAAAAAAAATATTAACAAACATATTGCCTTTATTATGTTTATTATTACCGTACCGAATTCTCCATAAAGTATCTCCTCTTTATCCTGAGCTTCAGTCAAAATTTTACCCCAAGGGTCAATTAAAAATGAATGTCCATAAGCTACATATCCTGCAGAAGCATCCCTCGCAGGTGATATAGCAGCCACAAAGGATTGGCAATCGACCGATCTGGCCCTGTGCAAAAGCTCCCAATGAAGGGGCCCCGTTCGCATATTGAAGGCACCGGGATAAATAAGCATCTTGCAACCCTGGTTCCTATACACTTGAGCCATTTCACTGAATCTGACATCGAAACAGATTCCGACACCGATTTTCACTTTGTCGACTTCGAAAGTGGTCAAACACTCTCCTGGTGCCAGCACTGAGGATTCTTTGAAGGCTATTTTGCCTGGGAGGTGGATGTCGAAGAGATGCACCTGAGGAATAATATATTTTACAAATACTTGCGGACACTATGTTATTTTTAATGATTTAAACTGACTTTTCTGTGAGTGGCGATCAGGTTTCCCTGGGGACACCAGACCGTGCAGGTGTTGTACAATTTTCCGTCGAGATGTCTTTCTGGAATGGTTCCTCCGACTACGTAGATTTCGTTTTCTTTAGCAGCATTGCTCAGGGCTTTGCAAGTCTCACCGCAGGGTACTTCCTCGGCATAGGCCGCAAAATGTTCTAAGGATAACAATCATTTTAAATATTTTCAAATATATTATTACTATAACTAGTGGTGTATGGAATCGTGTCTTAAAACAAATTGCTGGAACTTCCCGTAATGTAATGAAATATTCGAGAAAGTTTAAACGTTTTCAATTACATTATTACAAATATTGTAACTTTCATTATTTTTGCTATCATGTTGCAAATTTGTCTCCGGAACATTAACAATCGTCATTTCATTTCGAATTCAATTTCAAAAAAAAAAATAGTTGCCTAATTTGCACAAAATTGAAAAATTGCTCCCGTATAGTCACAGTCTAAACATTTGCATTTGCAAATAATTCTGTACGACTTTCACTTATACTGTGCTTTACTGGGCAGTATTTTCACATTTTTCACGCACTCATATGTTCACATTATAATAATCGCTTCAAAATAAAAAAAACTCAAATTTACTATAACAATTGTTATAATATATACGGTTGTTGGTTTCGGTTAGATTAGTGAAGAGGTTGATGCTGAACAGACCCAAGAAATTTTAGAGCTATGAGAAATTTGGTTTAAGTCTGGTTTGGTAAAATTATTTTAAAATTGGAGAAAGTAGAACAAACTGAGAAGATTGTTGAAAAAAGTAGTTTTTATGTTAATTTTGACATTTTTGAAAAATTTTAAAACCGCAAAAATTTTCATTTTCGATTTTTTTGCGGTTACTATAACTTACCTACCCTAAGAAAAGTTAGAAATGAAAACAAAAAATATAAAAATAAAAAAATAATAATAATAGAAGTTAACAAACCTCTTATTATTGAAAAGAAATTAAACAAGAATAACAAAAGTTCATATTCAGATTTTAGAAAAATAATTGAAATAATTCAGAATATCATGATAAGTATCATGCCCTAAAAGGGCAGAACTTTTCAAAATTCGACCCTGGAACATTCGTGAACCTCATTGTTTCTAAAAAGCTCGACTTTGCATTTTGCTTTGCATTTAAAATTTGTTAACAATGTGACTAACTACATAATTTTATTATTAAACTTTTAGTTTCTTATTTTATAGATATTTCATTAATCAAATTCTGTAAATTTGTGCATGCGTTTTTATTGGTGTGGTATATATTAATATTTTTATTATTTAAATTATCTAAATATTATCTAATTTCATAATTTTTGTAAAATGTTTTTGTAGAATTTGTTTAACGTGCTGAATGATAACACATATAGAGTGTCAAAACGTATCTAATAATTAACTTCCCGTATAGCAAGTTATAGTAATCGCAAAAAAATCGAAAATGAAAATTTTTATATATCTTTACGTTTCAGAGGTTTCTGAACAGTTTGGCATACCTTATAAACAATGGATGTATGTGTGTGTGTGTGTGCTTATGTGCGTGTATGTGTGTGTGTTCGGATACAAATGTTGGTCGACGATTTCGGGAACACGGATGAAGCGATTTGAATAATTCAACAAACATTCGATTCGTATTGATAAGGAGACGTGCTGATTAGTTTTTGGTATAGGCTGGTCTAGCCGCTTTGAAGATACGGGGTAAAAAGTGCCGAAAATGGTAACTTAGTTTTTAAGAGAACGGAGCGTCCGATTTTAATAATTTAATTACACCAAGATATTTAATTACAGTAAGGAAAGTTCCTGCCATTTGGCATAAGGCACGATGCCATGCACCCCTAGTATTTTTTTTAATTCGGCGATTAGGCTGCAAAATACTTCAAATATATATATATATATATATATATATACATATATATATATATATATATATATATATATATATATATATATATATATATTATCTTGATAGTTTTTTCGACGTTGAAACATATTTCAAAGTAACTAGCAGCCCATTCGTCGAAATAAAAAAGGTATAAAGTATAAAAACTTTTATTTATACGTTTCGACACAAGATGCGTGTCATCATTCAGCAACTACAACAATTTGAAAATATATATATATATATATATATATATTTATTTATTAACAAAAAATAAGATTTATTTAAGGTAATATAAATTGACAAATGTAAGATCGTTTTACCCTGTTATAATATTGATACAAAACAAAATTTTTAGGTTATGTAAAAACTATTATTCGTGAATTAGTATCTATACCATTCATTATACTAAAGGTTATGAAGTTACATTATATCATTTAATAATTTCATTAAATTACTTAAAAAAAAAAAAAAATTTTGAATAACTGTTATTCCGGCGAGTGTGAATGCGCCTTTATCTCTCGTCGGCCATATTGTTGAATCGTAGCAATGATGGCCGATGTTTGTTCTGTGTTCTGTGATTTGTTTGGCATTTAATATTACTCTCAATTGCCAAACAATAATAAAAAACCGCAATCAACGATACATATACATTAAATTCAACTAATTATGTACTAGTATCAAGCCTATAAAATGGAAACGAAGGAAATTAACGTCGAAAAGTTGTGCAGGGCTTGCATGACAGAAACCGATGACAAGAAAACACTGTTTCAAAATAATAATGAAAACAATGTTAAATTGTCAGAGATGTTATCGTATTGTACCTCTTTACAAATTTTAGACAGCGACGGTCTGCCGAATCAAATCTGTACCGTTTGTGAATTGCAATTGAACAGTGCTTATTTGTTTAGGAAAAAATGTTTGGTATCCGATGTAGAGCTGAGGGACAAATTAGGACTGATGAAGGAATCTATTGTTGTCAAACAGGAATTAGAAGAGGTAAATAGTAAAGGATACATTAGCCAATGCAGTTTTAGTATCGAAGCCAAGTATTCAATTCCTATATAAAATCTCTTATTTGTTTGTATTGTAATAGACAAGTTGTTTTTTAAGACTGGGGCATCACAAAGTATTCAAAACAGTTTGTTTTAATGCTCGAGAGCATAAGAAAATGCCATAATATTAAATTAAACACTTTTAAGTAATGTTAGGTTAGTTTTATATCACAACTACTAGTTGTACCCGATCACACATTGCTGTGTTATGCATATAAATAATAACCCAAACAAAAGTTATGTCAAGATGGAAAGGAGAGTTTGTTTTGTATGTGCTTGCAATTTCTTCAATGCTCGAAAGCATAATTAATACATGATATTAAAATAAATATTATGAGGTAATGTTAGGTTAGTTCTCACTAACAATTTTAAATCACAACTACCTGTACTCGATCACGCATTGCTGTGTTATACATATAAACAGAATTCCAAACAAAAGGCAGGACATCAAATAGGAAATTAAAAAGTATAGGATAGGATATTAAAAAATTTAGAGCTTTTGAATTGTAGACGTGGGTACAGGACGTCTGTCGGGTCATCTAGTATATATATATATATATATATATATATATATACAAGATATATACATTGTATATATATATATATATATATATATATATATATATGCATACAAATTATCGTCGACGATTTCGGGAACACGGATGAACCGATTTGAATGATTTAAAACACATTTTACTTGTAATGATAAAATGAAGAATTGTTTTCGGAAGGCAGGTCTAGCAGTTTCGGAGATACAGAGAAAAAAAGTAAAATAGGCATTTGGCGGTCAAAAATGATAGAGATTTTAAAAATGTTGTTACAATTTTTTGGGTTCCGTACCAAGATTTTTAATTTTTAAAGTTCACTTATACGGTTCAAGCAAGTATCAAATTTTTCAGAAAATATTTTTTCAGAATTTTCAAAAATATACAAAGTTTTAATATGTTTTAAATGTAAATTTTTAATTTGTTTTTATTAACTTAAAAAAATGTGTATATTCAGTTTAAAATTGTATATATTTCAAATGCGTTATCCTAATCGTAAGAAATATATCCTCAGATGTATTCTTTCGGCATCTCTTGTTAATGTAAACTCAAGTGTTTTGAGCGATAAGACCGCTGAATATTTGAAAATGTTTAAAACAATTGTTATTTTATTAATAATTGATCAATATATATTGATAAATATTTTTTTCCCTCGAATATTTAATTCTAGTATGGGAAGTTCCAGCAATTTGCCTTAAGGCACGATGCCATGCACCACTAGTTTATAAACTTATTATGATAAAATAGATAATTGACGCAAAAATGAAAAACGACTTCGGGGTTCAAGCCTTACCACTTGGTTTCAATCTATAAATTCAACTATGGCATCGTGCCTTAAGGCAAATTGCTGGAACCTCCCGTACCGGAAACTAAATTATTAAAGAAAACTTTGAAAAAAAATTAGAGTTTTGAAATCATAGCTTTCCGTCTAACGTGTAAACTTTGGTACGGAACCCGTATAAATGTACACAACATTTGTATTTATTATAATTTGTACAAATGGGATTACTTTTCTTATTGGATTTATGGAGACCCTGGACCTGCCTTCACAAAAAATTCACCAGTTGTTCAATTCATTCAATACAAGTAAAATGTTCCTGTAAATTACTTAAATCGGACACTCCGTTATCTTAAAAACTGAAATACCATTTTTGGCACTTTTTTCCCCGTACCTCCGAAACGGCTATGTCTGCCTTTGCCAAAAACTAATCAGCACGTCTCCTTATTAATAGAAATCGAATGCTGTTTGTATTATTCAAATCGATTGATCCGCATTCTCGAAATTGTCGACGAAAATTTGTATCCGCACACACACACGCACACACACACACACACACCTACATCCATTTTTTCTGAAGTATGCCAAAATATTCAGAAACCTTTGAAACGTAAAGATGTATAAAAAATTTCATTTTCGATTTTTTTGCGATTACTATAACTTACACTACGGGAAGTTAATAAAATAATCTCATGTATATTATCATTATTATTATTATTATTATTATTATTATTATCGTTTTCCTCCCCCAGGTAAAACAAGAGTCCGAACCCGAAGAATCAACCAAACCCCCGATTACCCCAACGCCGGTAAAAAGAGGCCCAGGCCGCCCCAGAAAAGTAGGTCGCCCAAAAGTGCAAACCCACGCATGCGAGGTTTGCCAAAAAGAATTCAGCAAAGAATCCAAACTAATTCGCCACATGACAGTACACGATGCCACCAGAAAGCCCTTCGAGTGCGACATTTGCAAAAAACGATTCCTGAGGATAGATTTGTTGACCAGACACATGGTTATCCATACCGCCCGACTAAATTTTACGAATAATATGAAATTTGATCACGATAGCTTGGATGCTAAATCAGACGAAGACTCTGATTACTGTCCTGAAATACTTGAACCGGATTGCGAGATAAATGATGATGATCCTGAAGATTTAAAGCCCTTGGTTGAAATTATTAATGAATCCAAACCTGAGGTTAAAGTTGAAGAGAATAAAAGTGTCAGCACCGATTCGGATAATGATAATAGAGATAACGATAATGATAATGATATTGATATTGATAATGTAGATGAAAATACCAATGACGATAACAATGATGATCAAGGTGATGATAAAAAGTTCTTTAGATGCGATAAGTGTCCCCAAACCTTCAGACGAGAAGAAAAATTAGACATGCACAAACAAAAAGCCCACAGAACAAAACGGAAATACGGTAAACGATTGGAAACAGACCTATCTTGTAAAGTTTGCAAAAAATCATTCAACCGATCAAGCCATCTAAGAAGACACGAAAAAATACACATGGAAGTCAAAGAACACAAATGTACCTTATGTCCCAAAACATTTTCCAGAGGCGAGTTCTTAATAAATCATTTAAACAAACACAGCGGTATTAAACCTTGTGTTTGTCACATTTGCAATAAGAGTTTTGCAAAACAGGGTGTTTTGAATAAGCACATTTTAACGCATAGTGGGGAAAAGACGTTTCTTTGTAATATTTGTGGTAAGAGCTTCAACGCCAGCAGCACCCTAAGGCAGCACGTGTTTAGGCATTCTGGATTGAAACCATTCGAATGTACTATATGTCATGCTAAGTTTACTGAAAAAGGTATAATTACATTCAATGTTATCATCATTATTTTAGTTTGCTTTTAGGCAAGTTGCATGAAGTAATAATCGAAGAAATAATCGATCCATTAATCACGTGATCGATTTTTTAGGGGTTTTTGGACTCTTCCTCTCCATTGGTGATATTCAAAATTACCCCCCCTTCCCCACCAAACATAACGTGTATTGTTAGTTACGAGAAAAATTTGTAAAATTTGAATTTTAAATATGTTAAAAATAAATACACGTGATTCTTACTAAACCCCTCCCTCCCCCATGTGATATTTCGCGATGTTTGTCCAACCGCGCTTCCCCCTAAAAACCCCCTAAAAACCTAAAAAAATTTTCAACAATTTATTTCCAATTAGTTTTTTCTTTCGCTAAAAACTAATAAATGTGATTTCCAATTGTGAAACTTTATTGAATTGTTAAAATTAATAAGATTTTTGAATTAAATTTATTATATTAGAACTCAGTGGTTTCCAACCTTTTCATACTACGCACCCCCTTAATTTTTCTAACAATCTAATTTTATAAAAACTAGACTAACATTACAATTCATTTATCAGGCTACAAATTAATATAAATTATGTCAAATATGTATAAAAAAATTATTTCTTCATTTATTTTGCACCTCATTTCAATGTTTTCGGTTTATTTTTTTGAAAATTTGAAAAGCAGCTGTACGCCTCCTGTTCCTGAGGGGTTGCGACCCACAGATTGAAAACCACGGTTTTTTCTGTAAATGCTAGATTCTTGATGTTTCGATTTTTATTTTCAATAATGTCTTCCAAAACTAGCCAAAAATATATCTCTAGAATTTTAGAAACAAATTCAAATTATTTTCGGAATTACAGAAGAAATAGTGAGCAAACGCTATTTTTTCATTCTCGGTTTTTCATTCTTTAGATTCTTTCTAATTAGAGGGAAAGATAGGAAAAAAACTAAACGTCCTGTCGAAACGATACAAAATTTATTGTATTCAGGATTAAACTCAAAAAAAAACTCAAAAAAAAGTTAAAATTAACCCACTTTTTAAACAATTTAAAGTGAAATTTTGAATAAAAAACCGTGATTTTTTTTCAAGTTGCGAAAAATTGGAAAATTTCTAAACTTTTTGGATTTTTAGGTTCAACCAGAATCTATACTATTGAATATACATATATTTGTTTTGATTTTTTTGTTTTGGATGAAAATTGTGACCTGCATCTTTCCCGCCAAATGACACCTGCACGCTCGTGGCGCATTGGCAAAATGCTTGTACCCGGCATATTATGAGATATATTTTATTGAAAAAAATAGGAAGAATGTTGAAACAAATAATAATAAAACCTGAAAGTTTCGTTTCAATTAAACATTTATTTCCTTCCCTAAAAATTAGTCAAAAGAGCGATTCTTTAAAAAGCCTCTAAAAGGAGGATCTAAAGGAGGCTTCTCCCTTAAACTACGTAACAAAAATTCTTGTAATGTAATTGTAATTAACTGTTGAAAAAAAGTTATTTGTCGATTTTTATGAAACTTTTTTTGGCTATAGGTCTTATGAAACATACTAAAATATTACGGCCCTACAATAGTTGAAAATGGCATTTAGCCTTAAGGCAATTTGCACGAACTTCCCGAAATGTATAATAATTGACGTAATCAACCAAAATTGAGATCTAAAATTTGAGATTTAGATATTTAGATCAAATTTTGAACTATTTATTTACAAAATTAAGTTATCGCTTTCAATTAAATCGAAACCTTACGATTTCGGACAGAATTTTCTCAAACACATTTAAATTATTTGTAATTATATTAATTATATTGCACAGACACTAATGCTTGTATGTCCTAAAATTGCAACTTATTATTTTAAATTTCAATGAATCGATAATGACTCATCACATCACGAAAGCAACTTTTGTCACAAATTTTGACTATGATATTTTTTCAAACTTTGATGAATTTTTAACATTAAACTATTTGTTGTAGGGCCGTAACATTTTAGTATGTTCTATAAGACCATGATATCTATCAATATAAAAAGTTTTATCAAAAAATATTTTTTCAACAGTTGATTACGAAGAAACGGTTCGGCCAATCTTTACCAAAAGCGGTAAGCACGATTCCCAACCAATATCTTTCGAACAGTTTTTGAATTTTCAAAAGCGATTCAAAATTGCGGGCTAAAACGTGGACGAAAATTTTTTCACTTTTCTGCGATTTACAAAGAAACGGCCCTGCCGATCATCGGACAAAACTCAAAAACGCCAATCCTCATCGAGATACATCGAATGACATTTAGATTTTTGAAATCGGTCCAGCAGTTTTCGGAGAAAACGTCGATTTACGGCAAAAAATCTGTTCACACACACACACACACACACGCATACTTTTTCCAAATGTTGGTCTCATTCGATTCAGAATGGCTTGAAACGTCGATAAAACATAAAATTAGCGAATCGGATTTTTTGATGAAAACAAACTTCTCCTTTGAGAAGTTAAAAAATCTAGTTTGATGTAGCTGCTTGCTTTAAGTTATTTAGATAAAATTCAAACTGTTTATATCGATAACAACATTTTGTTTCGCGAATTTCAATCGACATCAATTTAACCAAATATATTTTTTGAATTTTTTCAGGTACTTTGAAAAAGCATATGATTACACACACGGGCGAAAAGGCTCACGTTTGTGACGAATGTGGAAATCGATTCACGACAGGATTCTCTTTAATAAAACACAAAAGAATTCATAGTGGAGAGAGGCCTTATCCTTGTGATTATTGTCCGAAACGATTTATCAGTTTATTCATTCTGCAGAACCATGTTCGAACACATACAGGTAATAATAGAAAACTTATCAAAACTAGTTTTAATTCTAAAACACCTAATTTTCTGGCTGCCATTATAATTATTATTATTATTATTCTTTTAGGTGAAAAACCATTCCAATGTCAGTATTGCACTCGAGCCTTTGCCCAAAAATCAGACATGATAAAACACACAAGAACACATACTGGAGAATCACCTTACGTCTGCACAATTTGTGGACAAGCCTTCAAACAACCATCAGCATTGAAAACACACGGAAAGACTCACGAACGAACATTACATTTGCAACAAGTCGCTGCTGCTGCAGCAGCTGTACATTGATAGAAAGGACGCATGAAATTCAAATGATTTATAATTGGTCATTTTGATTTTGCTACAAAACACCACTCAGATAATTGTAAATAATAAGGAAACTATTGAGTTTTCTTTCAAAATTTATATTGACTTGTGAAATGAATATTTATATTATAAAGAGTCAATGGTTATTTTAAGAAAGTATTATAATAATTTTGTAAAGATTAGATTAGTTTTTTTTTGTTTTTGGTTTATGATGCTTATGATTTACAATTCAAGCTTTTTATATTGCTGTTTACATGGAATATATGTATACTATAATAATAGAATTTTAAATGTAGGCATAAATTTACCAAATATATATGTACTTAGAATCTTGTAATAAAATATATTATTAATGAATATTGCTTTTATAATAATGACCTGAGTTAAACACAGTTGAAACGTAAGATGTTTAAAGTACCCTATCATACAAACTTAAGTATTTCAGGATCTTTTTTGAAGTAAAACTTCTTTAGGCGCGATTTTGTAAATCTGTGAAAATGAAATGGAAGTGCGTTAGGCTCGAGTCGAGTGCCAATAATTCGTCATTCGCTCTCCATGATATCATTTCTATACGATTTCTATTGTGATTGGTCGTCGTGTCGCGTAAGTATGATTGCTTTGATTGTATAGTGAAAATAATAAAACAAATGAAAAATCTGTGCCGTGTAAGAAACGTAAGTTTATTGAAGCAATTTGTATTATTCGTGGTTATTATATATATTTTTGAGGTTACTAAAATGTAAATTATTTTTATAGACAAGACGGATACTACAATTGCTCAAAGAATGAAACTGTATGGCCAGCGAAAAACTAAAAGAAGCAAGCAGTCAATGAATGTCTGTTAATTTTATTTACATAAAGTTCTTCAAAGAAAATTACATGATGAGTGAAGTTGCAAAAACAATATTTCTTTAGGCGTTGTGTAACATAATAATTCTCTGCATTTTTATAGATATTAAAAAATAATAAAGCAGTACAGCTTTATTCTATCATGCCGAAGATATATCTTTTTCAGAATTTTTATTTCAGACACTTTTGGAAGTTTAGAGGAAATCTACATGTTTTTCGATCATGATGGCTATTAAGTATTACAAATAATTAAGAATAAATTGATATTCAGATTTATTACTCTAAACAAAAGATGAAGCATGACAATAGTTTGTGTAGCTATGTATCATTTATATACAGATATACTTCGTAATGGATATCTATGCAGTTTATTTATTGATAGTGTTAATGAAATTACTCAAGATTGTTATATTACAGCTGTCCATTGTGTGAACGAATATTATAGAATTTATTAATCAGCAATTACTTCATTTCTCTAATAAAGGTTCAAGTCATAAATGCTAATTACAATGACAAACCGATCAAGTCATATTTGAAGTATGACTTTCATTACATTATTGTATTCAAATATTATAAATATTTTTAATGCTATTATGAATATATAATTTATAATTTATTATTATATAAATATGCAAAATGTTTGGCATTAATAAATGTGTGCATCGAGTGTTACTATATTACTAATAAACATGATTTAAAATTATTTTATGATGTATTTATTTTTAACTTAAATGTCATCTCATACAATGACAAAACAGTTTTACTTCAATTTTGTGTGAAACTTAAACGCACTCTTTATTTTATCCATATGTCATGCTATTTATGTCAACACTTTTTACCTCTAAAAATTCCGTATTTACCTCATTTGGGATAATTTACCCCGGTTCTCTAACCACAGCCTTACAAGCTATAAAATATCTCAAACAACAAAATTTGCTTATACAAAATCATTTTTGAACATATTTAGACATATATCATACAAATATGGAAATCAGCTTCCCAAACAATAATCTTATAAATTTGAAAATATCAAAAGATGAGCCCAAGAAAGAATACCCTAAGTTGAATGATTTTTAAAAATGCTGATATCAGCACAATAAATGTTAATCCGAATGTAATGTTAATACGAAGTCATTCACAAAAGTACAAAAACAACCTTGAAGATCACCTAACTAACTGCCAGAAAACTTTGCAAGAATACTACCAAGCCCAGATTAAAAAAGAAACTTAATATCCTCCGTCAATCTCAAAATTTCTGTCAATGGTCAGATAATCATGTATCTCTGTAGATTCTTAGAAAACTTTATAGTACAATAAATAAATAAATAAATATATATATATATATATATATATATATATATATCCTCTTACCTGTGCCATAAGGAGAATTAAAACATTCTGGTAAAGCGACTAATTTTGCACCATTGCACTTAGCAGTTTCAATAAGTTTCAAAGCTCTTTCCACATTACTCTTTTTATCTGCTGTGACATGCAGTTGAATCAAAGCTAATTTGAATTCTACAAATTAAAGTAATATAGTAAAATCATGATTGGTTTAGTTAATTAATTTCATATTTGAATATTTATTGTATGACTTACTGGCTGCCATTTTCTTTGCTACATTCATTTGAAATGTTTGTGTTTGATAATATAACTTGGAATTTTCTTATCTATGAAAGAAACTGATATAATAATAATAGATTATTTAATAAATAAATAAAACATAAATATAACCTCTAATTTTGAAAGTCATTTGTAACAGCTGTGTTGTGTTGCACAATGTGGTTGATGTGAAGTTGGCAAGATGACAGTAGTGCAAAAAGACCGGTAAATTCAAATAGTTGTAAAAGAGACAAATTGGATTGATATAAAATTTTCAATTGACGTCATTTATACAGATTTTTAATACCTGTAAGTATGTTATTTTGCACAAACTTGCTCTTAGAAAAGACACGGTCCTAAACTTGTTGCACATTATTCCCAACTGCACTGGATTTTTATATTTAAACCACTTTTTGTGGGTCTATAATACTTTACTAAATTTGTTAAGACCGCTTTATATAAAATATCACTAAATAAATAATTAATATAAACGTAGGATATTTATTATAAACTTCAAAATGCAAAACCAATAATAGAAAATTTTAACAAGTAGTTCAGTTAATAACAATATAATAATTAACACATAGTTTTTATAACCACAACTTTTTTGAAATGACATCTCTTGTTCTTATAGTATACAGACTATCTTATTCGCAAATGCTTCGCAATTTGACAATTGAATTGTTTAATTTTACACTACCAATTGTTATTAAAAGTTTGATGTTACAGCACACAATACAATAAATCAATTGTCCCATAATTGTCCATTGTCAATTATTGTTATTTAACTTGTTTTAACTGTTTGTTTCAGAATTGTTTCATAAACATCTGTTCTTCGTTGTTTGTAAACTGGTACCTTGTTTCGAAAATCTTCCACTGTTTTCAAATCTAAAAAAAAACAGAATAATTAATATTAATATATATCTTATATATAAAATTCTTCTGTACGGGTGTATGATTTGATACTTCTCCTAATATGTTATTCGGATTTTAATAATTCTTTTTGGAGTTTGTCAAAGAAAATTTTCAAGATTTATTGAACGATAAAACTATAGTAATATTGTAGAAATAAATGGCTAAAATTACCAAAAACCACTTTGGAACTTTTAAAACAATTTGGAACTTTTGAATTGTAGACGTGGGTACAGGACAACGTCTGTCGGGTCATCTAGTATATATATATATATATATATATATATATATATATATATATATATCTACATATATATAAAAATAAGTCGGGGTTTCCTTACTGACGATATAACTCCAGAACGCACAAACCGATTTCGACAATTTTGAATTCGTTGGAAAGGTGCATGGCATCGTGCCTTAATGCAAATTGCTGGAACTTTACGCAACGCAATTAAAAATTCGAGTAATGACATTAGTGAGAATTATCAGAATTATGCTTGCAATTAAGTCAACGAGCAATTCTTGCCGCAAAGAAATATGATGTACACGTACTGAATTTTACCATTCAATCAAAAATTGCTGGCGATTTGGTGACATACCAATGATTCCGACTTGTCTTCCGTTTGACTTCAAACGATTTCAATTTCCAGTTTGCCTTGCGTTCGCAATGACAATTAACAAGTCGCAAGGCCAATAGCTTTGTGTTTGCGGGATAAATTTCAAATAGATTATTTAGAAAATCATTGTTTTTCACAAGGGCAGTTATACGTTGCCTGTTCACTAGTTGGAAAACCATCCGCTTTGTTTGTGTTAACGTCAGACCAAAAAACAAAAAATGTGGTTTACCAAAGAGCACTTCAGTGAAACGGATAATTTGCAGATTCACTTTCATTTACTTAGAGAAGTTCAACTAAAAAACACTTCATTTTTGTAATTGAAATAAATTCATTACTGTTGTATAATAAAACCAATTTTTCCTTTTCAAATATAAAACAAACAAAAAATGTCTTCATCTTTCTCACGAAACCATCTGGTGGCGAAACGGAGTTCCTCGGGTTTGCTAGTACATATATATATATATATATATATATATATATTAGTGATGTAACGAATGTTCGCATTCGCATTCGCATTCGCGAATATTCGCATATTTTTCGATATTCGCATTCGCATTCCTATTCGCAAAAAACGATGCGAATATTTAGCGAATATATTTAACAAACAAAAAGGAAATTATTATATAGTTGCATATGAAATGATAACACAACTGATAAGATTTGTATATTTTTATTTAATCATACTTATTGATTTTTCCATTCCACTATATATTTTCTAAGAATTAAATATGATAATGAAATATAAACTTAAAAAATTAAATAATGAATACTTGACTATTTGTAAATAAGCTTTTTACAATAAAAAAATAATATTTATTTCTATTTAAAACAAAAGTAAAGTTGTAATATTCATAATGTTAACATTTGGTTTCAATTGCACATTTTTTCACTAATTTTCTCTTTCTATGAATTAAAAATAATAAAATATAAACTACACAATTATAGTTTTGCTAATAACAAGTTGACACAGTTGACTATTAAATAATTAAACTCGCTGTAACTTTAAATTCTTAGTAATTAAATTGAAGTAAAGGAATGTTAAATTTTAAAAATAAAAGTTTTCATTTTCTAATTCTTCCTCGCTTTCACTTGAGTCCATCATCATTTTCATAGTTTCTTTTAGTGATACAGATTTTTCTGAAAGACTGGCACTGGAGCCAAAGTTTTCCTTAACCTGATTAGTCATTTCAGGACGCTTTGAATTTGAACATGAAGGAAAGCTTAAGTCCTCATTTCCAATTAAATCCAAAATATTTTTCACGACCTGATCTTTGGTTGAAGGATTTTTGAAAAATTTCGATTTGTACCGTGTTTCTTGTAGATTAGCAAGTTCATCTTGAGCTACATTAGAGTGGTAAAAATGTGTTGCTATCGTTTTACATTTGAAATGTCAAACATTTTGCGCGCGCTTTATTTGAAATTTAGCATTCGCATTCGCATTCGCATTCGCGAATATTGAAGATGAATACTCGCATTCGCATTCGCATTCGCGAATGTGAAAAATCCAACATTCGTTACATCACTAATATATATATATATATATATATATACATATATATATATATATATATATACATGTATCTTCTATCCTATTTACCTATATCAGCATGTATTATCTCGTCATCCACCCCCGCGCATTTGATAACCCTACCCCAGGGGTCCACGACCATGGAGTACCCGTATGCAATGTAAGGGGCTCCTGTGTCCCTTGCAGGAGACACCGCTGCCACGTACACCTGGTTGTCGACTGAACGAGCCCTATGCAAAAGTCTCCAGTGCAAAGGGCCGGTGGTCATGTTAAAGGTTCCAGGGTAAATCAGCATTTGGCAACCTGGATAAAGGATAATAAAGGATATTAAAAAAAGAGTGAGAGAATTGAAGTAAAACTTATTTCCTACTGTACAAGATGGCATTTAAGTAAAATTAAATACATCATATAACAATTTCGAATAATGTTTATTCGTAATATGGTAACACTCGTGATGCACACATTTATTAGTGTCAGTCCATTATACACATTTATATAATGATAAATTATAAATTATATATTTATAACAGCATTAAAAATATGTATAATATTTAAAAACAATAATGTAATTAAAGTCGTAATTCAAATATGACACGATCGGTTTGTCATTGTAATTAGCATTTAGAAATGAACCTTCATTAGAGAAATGAAGTAATTGCTGATTAATAAATTCTATAATATTCGTTCACACAGTGGGTTATGTTAAACAACGCCTGAACAAATATTGTTTTCGCAATTTCACTCATCATGTAATAATTGTGTTTGAAGAACTTCAAGTAATTAAAATTAACATACATTCATTGACTGGTTGTATTTTTTTTGCTTTTTCGCCGGCGATATAATCTCATTATCTGAACAGCTGTAAAATCTGTCTTTCCAAAAATATTTTTCCGATTTTGCATATAAAACCGTATTAACATTTATGATAACAATCTTGCTAGGTTGTAAAATACGCCTGACCGCACAGCAAATAAATAGCATTTTTACAGGTTTTATGACCAAGAAAGAAGGATAAGATATCGTTGCCATAACAACGCTATGTTATCGGCTATTCTATTGAAAAATTTGCCCCTTAATTAGTGCTAAAGAGGTTCATTGATGACTTGGACCAAATATTCTATAAGATGTAACTTTTGATTTAAAATTGAACTAATTTAAGGAGAACTGGTCTCAGACCAGATAAACAATCAAATTTAAAAGTACAACGAGTGATTTATAGAGTCGTCAAATATATTGTCTTGAGTTAAGAGTTTGTAGACATAGGGACCGATTCCGTCGCATAACAGACCAATGTTATGGCAAGGCTATGTTATGAAGAACTTTCCATACAAATTCTTTCTAAATATTGACAAAATCATGTGGCTGTTGTGCAGTGAGGCGTAACCTAGAAACCGCAAAAATGTCAAAAAAAGATCTTAGAATACAGGTCTTTCTAACTCAGCTTCATAACATAGTGACGTAATAGAGTTACGTTGCAGTATATGTGTAAAACGCCTGAATGCGCAGCAAATACGTGGCATTTTGACAGTATTCAGTATGATTCAGTAGCATAATGTATAAAAGTTGGAGCGTAGCCTTGTAACATTATGTAAAAATCTTTATTATTTCAAAATTTGCAATCAAAATGTAAAAACCCCAGTGAAAATCTGATTAATAGCAACCCCCTTGTATATCCAAACCAAGTCTAATTAAATTGTCTATTTTGTCTATCAAAAAAGAATCAATTTATGGACTATCTGCAGTCAAATTAAATTGCTGGTGTCTTCCAATTTTTTTTTGGTCTAGTCCAAAAACGTTTCTGCGATCGCCCAGCAAATAGTTAGACATTTTCACAGTTTCACTAACAAACAATAATCATATAATATAGCAATGCCATGACAATGCTATTTTATGAGACAGAATTGTCAGGTAAATAAATAATAAATACAAGTGTTATTATACCCAAGTCTCTATAAAGTTGAGCCATTTCAGCAAATCTGACGTCAAAACAAATGCCAATTCCGATTTTGCAAATTCCATCGACATCAAACGTCGTCAAAGTCTGTCCTGCTGATAAAATCGATGATTCTTTGACTGGTATCTGTCCTGGAATGTCGATATCATATAGATGCAACTGAAAAAATAAAAGAAAAACTTATTTGTTAATTTATTTATTCAATATTTATATAATGCTTAACGTTATTTAAATTATAAATGTAATAGCGAGCAAAGTCAAAAAAAAATCTGCAAAATAGTTTAAGAAAGAATTTTTCTATTTACTTTCCGGTGTGTAGCAATAAGTTCTCCTTTCGGCGACCAAACTGTGCAAGAATTGTACAATTTATTATCAGCTCCTAATTCTGGTATAGTTCCTGCCACCAAATAAATTTCACTTTCACGAGCAATGCTGCTTAAACTTTGGCTGGTCTGGCCTTCTGGAATACGTTCTGCATACTGAGAAAAATGACCTATGGAAGGAATATATACTGATGAATAATTGCAATGAATACTAATAGATAAACTTGATCTCTATCAACAACTTATTATTTTTTATCCTAGAATAAACCAAAAAGTCCTTTCCGTCAATTCTTCCTCATTAAGTAGCATCACTATCTATGAGTAGCATTGTCATGCCAACACTATCTTATACTTGTTGTTTGTTCGTGAAACTGTAAAAATGTCTAACGTACGATCAGGCGTATTTTACATATAAACAAGCAAGGAAAAATCTTATGATAACTGCACCATCTAAAATTCTGTTATCATAACATTATTCTTTATTTGTTTATATGTTAAATTCAGATGAAAGATTCGCCAATAATAAACAAGCATAAGATAGCGTTGCCATAATAATGCTATTTTTTGAGGCAGATTTGCCCTGATTATCTTACTAGGATCGTATGGGCAACTGAAGCACTCAGGAAGGGCAGCGACCCTGGCGCCTCTTTTTCTTGCGATGCGAACTGCCTGAGCTGCTGCATTGACGTTGGTTCGTTTGTCCTGGACAGTTTTTGCCTGGACTAGGGCCAACCTGAAACCTGAAAATTTATTTTGATAATTAGTTGAAGAGAAATACATAGTTTGAAACTTTACATTGGTTTTATCAATACTATACAAATAAAAAAATAGTTTTTAAAAATGGTTTGGTAACTCCAGGATGAGTTATTTTTGGTTAGCAGTCTTATTTTTGGTTTCAAGTATAAATTTTAACTAAATTAAGTATGACATAGGGCCTTAAAGCAAATTGCTGGAACTTCTCGTACCGAAAACTAAATATATTAAAAATAACTAAAAAAATCAGATTTTTGAGAAATTTTGAAATTATTGAAAAAAAAATGACTTTCTTGAAATTTTTGATTTTTTTAGTATTTTGCTTTTTTTTAAATTTTGAACATTTTTTTTAAGCAATTTGGAGTAAAAATGTGTAAAGTTTTTTACTTTTTTTATTGAATCTACGGAGATACTGGACCTGCCTTTACAAAAATTTCGCGAGTTGTTTATTTCGTCAATACAAGTAAAATGTTTTTGAATTATTTAACTTGGACGCTCCCTTATATCAAAAACTGAAATACAATTTTGCCTTTGCCAAAAACTAATCAGCACGTCTCCTTATCAGTAGGAATCGAATGTTTTTGAATTATTCAAATCGGTTGATCCGTGTTCGCATAATCGTCCACGAAAATTTGTATCCGCACACACACACACGCACACACATACATTCATTTTATCTAAAGTATGCCAAAATGTTCAGAAACTTCTGAAACGTAAATATATATAAAAATTTTCATTTTCGATTTTTTTTGCGATTACTATAACATACCCTACAGGAAGTTAAAAAATATTTACTTCTAACTAGAAAATTTCTATATATCCTGAATAGGTTTTAAAAAGTCCTAAGGGTTGTTACAAGTACATAATAAGGATCTAAAGTATTAGCTAACAAATTGTTCAAAATTTTATTATATTGACCAATAACAAATGATGCTAAAGACCAACATTTAACAAATAAAAACTATTATTATTTTACAACTTACCAGTTTTAGGTATCATCTTGATGACTGCCAAATTTTGTAATAAAGATTCCTTTATCAGTTTATTTGGTATAATTTGTTAAGACCAAATTTTGGTCAATTGGCATTCCACTTGCAAACTCCTTTATCATTTTATCACTCTAAAAATAATTTGTAGGAAATTTAACCAATTTTATTTAGGAGAATAAATCTCCTAGGAATTTATTTTGAATTTTGACAGAACATTTTGAAATTGCGTTGTGCAAAACAATAGAACGATATGGTCAAATACTTAAATAATAAAATTAATAATATTATTAAAATCTTTATACATTCATCGATACATTTATTACAATATATTATTATATATACATAAATATGTTACAGAACACATTTTTCTATGCTTCTTAGACATAGATTTTTTTGAATAGGTAAAACTATTTGTTAGATAGTTTATATATTTATAAATTAATTGCTCATTTTGAAGATTGTCATACATTTAATAAGAACAGCGAAAGGTTTTTACACATTTAGGGGTCCTTAACAGTTACAGTAATAATAGATTATTAAAGACCACAATTTGCAAACAAAAAGGTCTTAAATTGTGGTAAAAAATACCAGAAAAGGTGGCATGCAAAATCACATCTTCAAAAATAATAAATTTAATTAGTAATTTATATTAAACAAGACAATAATTTATTTTATACTGGAGTTTCCACTTTTTAAATCTAGATGCAATGTGATTTCCAAATAATTTAAATAAATAATTTACAATTTTGATTAAATTATACAAGTTGGTCCCAAAACTTATTGAAGACAAAAATATAGCAATAACAATTTTGAAACTGATTTTTCGGTTACATTTTTAAATAATACTCGATTAATTTTATATGTCTATATACATCTCTTCTAACATTTATCAAACATCATACTAATAGTTATTTTACAACGAATGAAACATATACAATCACTTTTTCATGAACTTTAAAGCTACCCTGGTTAAATCACATATTGGGGGAAAAGGTTAAAATATTTATAAAATATGCTGGATAAAAAAACATTTTAACAAAATGTTTAACAAAATGTATGCGAAACCGTATAAAATATCTTTAACGACAAAATGAATTTGCTCTATACAAAAGTTAGGTTATGTTTTTTAACCGTGAAAAATATTTTATAAATTTTAAAGAGGTTTTAGTATAACTGTATTTACCTTAAAATGTGTACCAGAATTCCAAATTTATTTTCAGAACTTCTTCAAAATTCTTGTTTTCCACTTTTTTTAACAAATTATATCAAAATTATCAACAGCACCTTGATTGAATTCTTTCATACTTATTTTTGGATTTAATCCCAATTTAATAATAGTTTTTAATTATATTTATCACTCTTAACGATAATGCATCATTGAACACATATTTGTAACCCAAATTATATCTAAAATGCTTTAAATTGTGTATTTATATTTTATTTTAAAGAAAACTTAATTTGAGATTGACTGTTAAGGATCGCAACTAACTTCAGATTAAATTGGATAAAAAATTTAATTAAATTATTTAAAGTTTTGAATTACAAAATTAGTTTATTTTTATTGATTTAAATTATTTGTGCTCATTAAATTATTTCTTTATACCTATTTGTTGTATTTGAATAAAAAAAATAGTTTTTAATTTATTTAAAATTAGACTTTATGTTGACGTCAACTTAATGTATTTTGAATAATTTTTATTTAGAATTAATCAATATAATTAAATTTTGAACACATTAAGTATTTATAACTTGAATTCATCTTTAATTACATATAAAACGCCTTTAATTATAAAATATTATGTTATTCAAAAAACTTAAAAAGTTTGACATTTCGAAGGCGGCCATCTTTGAAATAATTTGGATAAAAACTAAATTAAATTGATTAATATTTTTGTGGAAAAACTACAGTAATTACTGTATTTGTAAATACTTACTTATAATAATAATAATACTTATTTCGCTTGTTTTAAAAAGAATTTAAAAAATCAACTTTTATAAAAATCAAGTCTTAATTATTATTGTAGTGTTGCCAGAAAACAAACGTTGACGTCTTAACGTATTTTAAATAAATAAATAATTGAATTTAAAATTTAAAATTATTAGTGATATATTTGTGCTGGTTTAATTAAATCTAAAATGCATTTTGATTATAATTAAATTAGTTTTAATTGAAAAGCTGTTAAATTCTTATTATTAAAAAAACTAATTTAACTTTGACAGTTTGACAGTTTGAAAGCATCTAACTTCATATTAACATTTTTTTTTTTTAAACTAAAATAAATGTTAAAAAAGTTATTCATCTTCATTGTGTGGAGTTATATGAGTTTGGTTAGTTATATTTTGAACTTATATGTCTTATTGCACACAATTTTAAAAAAAATGTTTTTTTCGAACATAACCTATATGTTGTTTCAATTTTTAAATCAAACTTTTTATGTTGTTGATATCAAAAAAACCTTTGACGTCCACTCATTTTCAATCAATATATGGTTTAAATTAAAGCAATTATTTAATATTTAAATTATAATTAAAATCATTACGTCCAACGCTCATGTTGTATCAGCTCCAGAACATTAGATAATACGGTTTTAGAATATCTAAACAAAAAATACTTTCCTTAATCTTCTTATTCAGATTCTATTCTTTTCGAAAAAAAACCCGACCGTTAAGTCGGGTTTTTCTTCTACTTTTTTTTCTTCTTGATTTTGATTTTCAATACTATAACTTTTAACTTATAGATTGTATTATAATTTGATTGTTAAATTTAGCAAAAATAAAAATAAAATCAGGATTTGAGCTACCTCATCTTTCATCCAATCCACTTAACCCTATTATCATTTTTTTATTTCTGCGAAGAACCATTGTTTCCCTTGTTCTCTTGCTGAGAAGTAGTAGAAGATGCAGGAGGTGCAGAGTTGTTCCTGATTTTGAAGAAGGCCCTTTTGTTGATAGCCGTGTGCGTGCAGTTGCAAATGTTCTCGAACCAGCGGACGACAACGCCTCGGGCTCTGGTGACCACTCGCTGGGCCACCTTGGACTCACTTTGGCGGCGACCTGGAGAAAAAGGTAAGAATTAATTCGAATATATATTAGAAATAGACATATATATTAGGATAGTCCTTAATATACATATTTCTTGCTCAAATGCTTTCAAATTAATGAAAAAAAAATTGTTTTAGCTCTTAATATAAACTTCCGCACAGAAAGTCCGCACTCCAACCAAAGTTTCTTATGGAGATAACATTGCTAAAATTCCATTTGTTTTTCAGAGGTTGATAACTTAGCGACTAGTCAATCAAAATTGTGAGAATAACATTGCATTTGCTTATTTTGATCATAAATTAAAAAAAATTACAACAAAAATTGATATGTTTTATAAAATAAGTATTCACTTAGGAAAAAGAATCAAGACTCTTTGGATGGAGTGCAGACTATCCCAAAGTTTATATTAAAAGCTAAAACTTTCAGAAGATTTTTTTATCAATTTGGAAGCATTTTAGCCCCTGTTAGCAAAGAAATTTAAAAATATCCATATTACGGACCACCCTAATCTATAAATAAATATATTAACCAAAAATCAGTAAAAAAAAACATATATTGCTCTAGTCACAATCCAAATGTTTCGGGTATAATCCTAGGCTTCATTCAGTGGAAACTAAAAATAAAATATAAATTCAATTGAGATTGATAAATTATATAGAGTAAAAGTACTTACAGTTTGCTAATTTTATTGTTAAAAATAAAAAAATTCAATTATCCATGATATGAGGATATGGTAATGCACTAAACTATGTAATGTTTAGCATTTCATGTAAATATAAATTAATAAATTTCTTTAAAAAAAGTTATTTTCAAAAACCGCGTAAGAACGAAAACGTGTAAAACGAGTACCGTGTAAAACGGGGGATAGGTGTTTTTCACAATTATACTAATAAATAATCGCAAAAAAATGTGCATATATTTGTGTTATATGTAACTAGTTGGAGACATATCTAAGAAAAGATTTTTTTAAAAAAATATTTTTAACAAAACTCTAACATGTGTGGAACTAATTGTAAATTTTTTTGCACATTTTTAATTTTTTGCAAGGAATTTGGAAACACTATCTTCTAGATAAAGAATGTTTGTTGATTCCATTTTTTTTATTTATAGTTCTATCGTTATAAATGTTTAATTAAAATCCCTCGTAAATTCTTCTCTTGTATAAATTTTCTTCAAAGTGTAGTAATATAGCATTAAAAAAATCTATTTTGTGTATTAAAATGTTAATGTGTTCTGCAAGCATAGTTTTAAATTGTCTAGGGTTTTTAAATTATTTTTGTGTTTGATTAATTAAATTTGTCTTATTTTTCGTATATAAATTCATTCGCAATCTAGGCAATTAATTTTATAGATGAGATTTCTAACACGCTTTATGTTAAAAGGAGTTTTTGTTCAAGTAAAATTAGTATCGTAAACTAACCTCTTTTAACATCGAACGATTTAATAATCTCGTCTTTTAAATAAATTAGCCTAGATTGCAATATAATACATATAGGAGAAACATGTCAGAATTATATGAAAATATACAACACAAAAAAGATTTAAAGAATCCTAGAAAATTTAAAACTATGCGTACACAACATATTAACGCTTTAAAACACAAAATAGAGATTTTAGCCCCCTTATAACATTTCAGTCTAGTAGTTTGCAGTTATTAAATTTTTTATTCAACACAAATAGCTGTTCATTTTTTTTTACTGGTGAAATATTTAATACAATATTTTCGATGCCTCTAGTCATACGCACGTATACATATAAACTTTATACAAATTGAAATGATTTTCATAATTGAAATTTCCGGATGTACTTTGCTTTATATAATACATAAGCTGTCGTTTGCATTTGTGTTTTGATTATACAACGCTGTTTTACAATTCTACAAGGTTTTTTATTTTAAAAACAAATCTGTCATAACATATACGAAATGTGTCTGTTTTCCACGTTTTTCCGTCCGTTTCCCGTCACATACAGAGTGACGACCTGTTACGTAAATATATATATATATATATATATATATATATATATTATTTTTAATATTTTTATTTATTATTATTTTTTTAATTCTCGCAATTAATTTTATTAACTCCAATAATAAGTTCTAATTTTAATGAAACAAAAACCTCTTTTAACATAGAATGACTTAGAAATCTCGTCTATAAAATTAATTGCCTAGATTGCTATTGAATTTATATAGGAGAAACGAGCCAGAACTTTATAAAAAATTACGACAACACAAAAATAATTTAAAAAATCCTAGATAATTTAAAACTGTGCTTACAGAACACATTACCGCTACAAAAAATAAATACGCGTTAACACTTTCTGGGCAATGAGTCAAAATATTTGCAACAAAATTTTCTTTTGTCTCCAGTATCATTATTACAAATAGATAAGCGTAATATACAACAAATAATGATTAATATATAAATAAACTATCTAATGAATAAATTTTAATTTAGTTTAGATAGATTTTAGAAATAAAAAAAAATCCTTCGAGCCGGATTTGAACCAGCGACCTATGGATTTCGGCATTTGTTTACATTCTACAGTCCACCGCTCTACCAACTGAGCTATCGAAGGTTGTTTATACAGACCCCAAAAAAACGATGACATATTGGAACAATTTGACACGTGCACTGAGGGTTACAATATTATTTTGTGAAAGAATTATTTATAATAATTTTATTTAAATTATACAAAATTAGGGCGTGCGTCAAACAAAATTTATAAAATTATTTATATCCAATATTTTTTTACAATGAGTTAAGTTTTTTCTTCAAGTTTATTAGTATACCAGACATTGTTAAAAATAAGTTATGTAACTAGGTGTAGTTAGCATTTTGCCTTAAAGCAAGTTGCACAAATTTTCGATATATGTAAATAATGAACTTAACCAATAAGAATTTAGATATTCCCAACTACCATAATAGTTTTTTTTAATGGAGCAATTCAACTTTTCTCCTCCCTCGAACATAAATTACATCCCTCTCTCAATTTACTGCAAGTGCTCGAATCTTTTTAAAGGAATGAAAATTCTGCGAAAGTCAGAAGATGGAAAAGATTTATACAAGTTCTATAATAAATTCAACTCTTGATATAAAATTATTCTTTTTCATAAAATAAGATTTCATTAAGTCTACAAAGCTACGGAAGAAAAGATTCATGAGAGTTGGAGAAAATGTAATTTAAATATGAATTAAAATCTTGGGAAAGAAAAGTAGAAACGTGATTTGGGAATAGTTAACGATTTTATTTTAAATATTAAGGAATGGTTAAACAGATTCATAAAAATTGTCAATTTTTTTTCTGCAACAGTTAATTACAAGAAAACGGCGAAGTAGATTTTTACCCTAAATTAATCAGTATCATTCCCAACCAATATCTTTCGAAAAGTTTTTGATTTTTTTAAATCGAGTCAGAATTTAGAGCTAAAGCGTAGATGAAATTTTTTTCACTTTTCTGCTTTTTACAAATAAATGGCTTAGCTGATCGTCGCACAAAATTTGATAAACGCTAGTCCTCATCGAGATACATCGAATGAATTTCAAATTTTTGAAATCGGTCCAGCCGTTTTTGAGAAACCGTCGATTTAAGGTCAAAAATTCTATTCACACACACACACATACATTTTCCAAATTTGGTCTCAGTCGATTCAAAATGACTTGAAACGTCTAGAAAACATAAAATTAGCAATTCGAATTTTTTCGTGAAAATAAACACTCTTCTTCGGCAAGTTAATATAAATTCATATCAATTTAGGCTAATAAAATTTATCAATGGTCAATAAATTTAAAAAAATATATATTTTCAGATACTTTTATGAAACTATAAATTTGCGAAAATTAAGAAATTTTAAATTGTGGCTTACCTTGTATACCGGTTTTAGAAGAATCCTGAAAACAAAGAAATACTTAATTAATATGTATTATATATTAATTAATTATATATATAATTTAAATATTTAACAGAATACATCAAAATAAAATATAAATTAATTTAAAACTGTTCTGTTTTGAGAACAAAATGTGAACAAAATTAATCACCTTAAGAAAAAATAAACTAACGTAGTTAGAAAAGCTCGTGGGTTTTATAAAAAAAATTGCAATTTTAGTGTAACTTTGTATGACAATAGAGTTCCTGATTTCAATAAACATACTAAAATATTATAGGCTTACGATAATAATTAAATTTTGGCCGCGATTGTAAAAAATCTTCAATATATTTCGGTATATTTTTAAATCACTCATATATTAATATATTTATTTCTTATTAAGTCAATTATTTAGGGCAAAATACCATTTATACCTAGTTTAGTTATTAAATTTTATCGTGTCTATAAATTATCATTATCATTCCAATGGCAATTTGTGAAATTAATTATCAGTCATAAAGAGATACGAGGCAGTTCGCATATGGCAACACCATTTGTAATGGAAATTTAGATTACTAATTAACAGTTAATAGTCTTCACTACAATTTTAGTGGCACAATGGTGTACGTGTGGGGACTATTAAATTTATATCGGAATAATGAACATGACAATGCGTAGTAGACAGTTTGTAATTAATTTAAACGTTGTCATCAGATGGAATTCAATTCGATAATTGGTAATAAAATAGTTAGAAAAGACATATTACATCAATCAATCATTGTATTAGAGATGACTGTTATAATTTTATTATACTAGATGACCCGAAAGACGTTGTCCTGTACCCACGTCTACAATTTTTCAATATCCCATACTAATATTTACCGTATACCTAAATATAGTAATTATTGGTTTTTAAATTACTCTTCACACCAAAATGCATACATGTACATCAATATGAGCGGTGTTAAATGTAGAACTGCTTTAAATAAAATGATGAGTCTCAATCTCCACAGTATATTGGAAATTGAAGTCTTTTAAACTGTATAAAAAATTCAGAAAAAATTAATATATAGTGTACGCAGTAAAAGTTATGCACTTGACAATTTTACCCTAGATTTTTCCACCAATTGCTCCAATAATGTTGCCTATAATTTTTATAATTTCGTATCAAATTTTAGCTGGTTTTTAGTAATTATAATATCTAAATTACATTTTTTTAGCAATAATTTATTATAAATTATTACCAGGGACGCTTCTAGAGTCATCAGCACCAGCATGCCATTTTTTTTTTTCTAGCGTACCCGTGCCCCTATATTTTTCCTATTTTAACAGTTTATTATTAAAATTATTATCACTAATTAATATTTGGCTTTAGAAACATTTTACTTATTGATTTTGGCCATTTTATGCGGTTTGTTCTATTGAGCAAATCGTAGAGAGCAAAAAAATTCTAGTCTTTCATTATTATAACACTGGTACTTCATGTTGGATTATTTTGATTTAATTTTTTATTATTTAAGATATCCAAAATTACATCTTAAACTTCTCCTAATTGATATCGTAAGGGTCGAATTGTATGTATTCATCTTTACTTTCCCATTTGTTGTTTTAAAGTGAAGTTTTTAAAGTATTTTAATAATTTTGTGCAAAGATTAGTAAAAGATGCAAAGAAATTATATATTTCTTGAATTATATTTAAAAAAACTATATGAAAATTTCATATGCGAATTTTGTGTTGACGCCCCCCAAGGTAGGACCGGCCCTGATTATTACTTATTTTTATATTTTAAGTGAATTAATTTATCAAATCTTGTTCATATGCATATTCAATTTGCCATACACATACTGTATTTTATATTATTTTGATTCCTGCACATCTCAGCTGCTTTTTGGCAATAATAATGTAGACATTACATTTTTCTTATTAATATCCTTGAATTTTTATACATATTCTAATATCGTCTAGACTCATAAGTAAATTGAAATTTTTGGCTGATGATAGTTTTCATTTCTTTTTAATGCAAACAATGACATGTCGTTTTTTGCCATTTTTTTCATTTATTTCTACAATATTGCACAAAGATCCCAGTACTTTATAATCACATACATCCTAGAAAATTTCCTTAACAAACTTCAGAAAGATTTATCAAAATCTGAATGATCGTTTGGAAGGAGTATACAGTGAGTGCTTGTAAAATTGATTCCACGTTTTAGTTAGAAAACGTTTGTATGAGAAAAAGAGAAAGGCTGTTTTAGGGTTTTCCCGGCAATTATTCGATTTTTTTTTCGCCGTAAGAACCATCCTGGGACTTACGGCGAACCTCGTAGAAAACATTTTAAAAAAAGAATTGGCCAAATTGGTCCAGGCGTTGTTGAGTTATGCGCTTACCAACACATTGTGCGTATCATTTTTATATATAAGATATACTAATATTGTCTAGGCTCATAAGTAAATTGAAATTTTTGGCAGATGACAGTTTTCATTTGTTTTCAATGCCAAACAGTGTCTCAAATATTTTCAACGTCTAACAATAACATGTAATTTTTTGCATTTTTTTTTCTATTTATTTCCACAATCCAACTATATTTTTATAATCACATACATCCTAAAAACTCCCTTAACAAACTTCAGAAAGATTTATCAAAATCCGAATAATCGCTTAGGAAGAGTATATTTACTTCAAAATAATTTTATATATTATATTTACCTGTTTGTTTTGCAGCGCCCTTTTTCCTGCTTCGACCTCCGCCTGGCGGATGACACCATCAACGAATTTGGTGGCCTCCGCCAATTTGTCAGGGTCGGACTTGAATTCAAAAATTTTTTCTTCTAAAGTCAGGGCAGACGTCGATTGGCCCTCGTCCAGGCTTAATTTTAAACCACCAGGCTTCATTTTTAGAGTAAAAGTCTCAGAGTAATTGTCTCAGATTTTAAAATTTACTTTTTGTTAAAGTCACAGTAATAGTCTCAGATTTTAAAATTCACTTTTTAATAAAAGTCACAGTTTTTTTTTTAATTTTTTGCAGCACAAATGTATATATTAAAATCACTTGTTTTTACATTTTTGTGGTAAAATGTGTTTCACTACTACTGTAAAAAATAAACATTTTATTGGTAAAAAATACCAAATTTGGTTCCATTTGAAATTAATTTTCAGAAACATTTATATAAAACACTTGTAAATAATTTAGCAATTATGAGATAAATTTATGAGGCGATTCTGCCGTAACAGAGCTCATAAAATAGCGTTGCTTGTTTATTAATAAAGAAAATTATGAAAATGTGCGATAAGGCGTATTTTACATATAAACAAGCAAGGAAGAATCTTATGATAACTGCATCATCGAATATTCTGTTATCATAACATTCTTCCTTGCTTGTTCATATTTAAAATGCATCTGATTGCACGACAAATAGATAAACATTTTCATAATTGTCAATACCAAGAACAAGTATAGAAGAGCGTTGCCGATGAAGCTAAAGTATATTTTATATCACTACTTTCTCACCAAAAAAAATCAATCTTAAACTTGCAGTATATAATTGCAAAGCAACTGCATTTGTGCATTTATTTATGAATAATCCAAAACATTTTAAACTATAGTCATAAACTATTTCATAAACGGAGAAGAATGCCGGCATTAGAATTAAATTATCTGGGTAAAGAGCAGAGTTTCAAAAATTGGCAAGGAGAGTTTTCAAAATCTTTAAATAATAAGGGCTCAACATACGCTCTAACAAATATGAAGATAACACAAAAAACGTGGTTTAAAAAGGTAAAAGATGACAGAAAATTTATTTCTACTATATCAAGACTGAGATTCGGGCATACAAGAAGCAAATCCCATCTTGCAAAAATAGGAATACAAAATCCCATGTGCCAGTGTGGTAGAGAACAAGAAACGATAGATCATATTTTTTGGAAATGTAAAATATATATGAAACAAAGGAAATCCATGTACAAAATGTTACAGGACAAAGAAATTGTGTTCCCCATAAATTCACAAGTGTTGATATCTTACAATAATATTGAATGTTGACATATACAAAATTATGTATAAGTATATAACTAGTATTAAGATTGATTTATAAGTTTGGAATTGTAAATAAATGTATATATCTATGTCATTGGCAAAATGATCGAAAGATTAAAAGCCACAAATAAATAAATAAAAAAAAACTATTTCATCATTGCAAGACAGTACAAATTATCTTCATAAACTTTTCCATCAGTTATCCTTAGAACTTTACTTTAATACATAGTTGAGCTCGTTATTATTCAGAATCTTCAAAAGCCCTAGCCCTTAGGGAATAATCTTCATCCCACAAAGCGATGGGTTAAGTATGGGGGCGAATACCCTGTCTCATCGTATATAGTTATTGAATAAAATTATTAATGTCCGGAAAATGTTCTCCCAGGACCCATATTGGGTATTTCCTAAAGCACTTGGATAGATATGGGGTTGCAAATTGCGGAATAAGGGAAAAAAAGATATATATATATATACAAGATGACCCGACAGACGTTGTCCTGTACCCACATCTACATTTTTTTAAATATCCTATACTAATATTTCCCGTTCAGTTAAAAATAATAATTATTGTTTTTCGAATTACTATTTACACCAATATATGAGTGATGTTAAATGTAGAACTGCTTCAAATAAAATGATGATTCTCAATTCCCGCAGTTAAACCACACTTTAATTATCCCTTTAACAAATATTAAAATATGTTCAATAAAATTGTATATTAAAAATTATACACTGCAATTAATAGAACAAATTTATTACCAATAGCTCAATTTGTTTTAATGCCAAGGATTATCCAATATCTTTAGTCATACCTGTAGATGTGGATGTATAAATTAATGATTTTTTGTTTATTCACGACTAAAACATTGATTTATCAATTTATCATACAAAATACCATCGTCTACCTTTGTGATGTATTCATGGTCATAACATAAGATACACGTGTTGAAAATTGAAGTCTTTTAAAAGGTATAACAAATTCAGAAAGAATAAGAATATAGTATTCGCGATAAAGGTACAATATCACCTTGGATTTTTCTACCCAAAATAATTACCTCAATAATGTTGCCTATAATTTTCATAATTTTGTACCATATTTTAACTGGCTTTTAGTAATTTTAATATCTAAATTACATTTTTCTCACTAATAATTCAATATACATTATTACTTAGGTTCATATTTGAAGTGAATTAATTTGTCAAATCCTGTTGACATGTGCTCTATTCAACCTACGATCAACAAAGTTCTTGCAGTAAATGGAGAGGAAAAAAAGCGTGTGCCCTGTGAATTTTTTTACTTTGCTCCAATTTGCATGATATATTGAAAATAGGCTAATCTTAATCTTAAGTTCAGAAGTGAAAACAATTTGCACTCCGTCACCACCCTCCGCATTCATTGGATTATAACTCTTTTAATTCTGATTTTATCAGAACTTGTAATATACTATTTTAAAGGTAATTCAATGAGCTACAACTTTCTCCATCATAAATTTTACCGAAACTTCTCTTATTTTGAAACGGCGAAGGGTTAAAGGGCTCGATAGAAACTCTGGTCGGACAGCCGCGCACTCTTTAATCAATCATAACTCTATCAATATTTGTGTAACAGAAAAATAATAAAAAGCAATAATTAGTCAGAAAAAGACTTTAAATAATAATAAGAAATTGGTTGTTTTTTAAAAAGATTTTTTTTCATGAAATCATGAGCTTTTTGGAAATCGTTTGTACTAAAGTTGTGGTATTTTCTAGAATCCATCAAGATCTCTTAAACCAAGTTAATTCTAGATGGAATACGATTATTTTTAATTTTGGTGGAAATGGCACTCATAAACTGTTTGATTCTAATGAAAAAAAAAATAGTATGCAGGCTCTATTTGCATGATAGTTCACTCATTTTACACGCAGAAGTACCCACTGTAAAGCTTATTTTGAGCCCTATAGAACCACATTTTCATATCTATCTTAATATTGTTAATGGGACACGGACATTAGGTTTTTTGCATTTTTTTCTATTTATTTCTACAATCTAACTATATTTCTATGAATCAAAAAATCCTATAAAATTCCCTTAACAAACTTCAGACAGATTTATCAAAATCCGAATAATCGTTTAGGAGGAGAATATTTACATACATCATTACAGAAAATTTTTTTATATAAGATAAAAGTAAAAAATATTAATAATTTTCCAGGTAACATAAATTCATGTCTCATGTTCCCGTATATAAAATTTCCTTATCTGGCGTCCTCTGGCGATTAACATATTTGTTTTATGTTTCGCGATTAAATTGTCGTAAAATAAACAAGAAACATTTGTGGAAAAGTTGGAAACATTTGCGTGATGTAAGCCAATTTATTTAGAGGCCACAAAACTGAATTTCTTATCGGGGTCGAATTGAGATTTTGCATGTGGTCAAAGTATAAATAATAATAAAAAAAACAGGTGAATGGTAAAAATGTTGATTTGTGAACATCACTATCACATTCTACCATCCTTGCCAAGAAGTATATATAATTATTATTATGATATCCTTATATAATTTCACTTCCAAACATGTTTTCGATGAAATGAGTGATGGCGCATGTTCTGTAGAATCAAATCGTGTTCTATTGATACAAAATTAATGATAAAACCATTACAGTAATAACATTGCCGTAAATGAATTTATTAAAGCCAAAATCAATACCTTTTTGCACCTGTACTAACACATTTATATATATTTACTTGTCGGTGTAATATTCTGCGGGTGCGTAAAAAAATCGTAAACCTCTATGTGTTTTAATTTACGATTTCTGGCCTTTCTTATCTTCAGGATCGTGTACGGGTTTTATCCTTACCGCGAGTCTCTTGTTATTAGAATTACAGGATATTTATGCCATTTAATTAAAGTTCAGAAGTTTGATGTTTCTGCCCAAAAATGGATCAATTCTCGGTAATCACACAAAATTATTTCAACCACGAATCGGCCCCTAAGTGCACCTAGAATACCAAATCTTTAACATATCATTGGAAACCGGTTATTTATCCATTTCCCTCTAATTATTTACTCTAACTGTTCTGATTATTAACTTCCCGTATAGCAAGTTATAGTAATCGCAAAAAAATCGAAAATGAAAAATTTTATATATCTTTACGTTTCAGAGGTTTCTTAGAAAAAATGGATGTATGTGTGTGTGTGTATGTATGTATGTATGTACGTGTGTGTATGTATGTGCGGATACAAATTTTCGTCGACGATTTCGGGAACACGGATCAACCGATTTGAATAATTCAAAAAACATTCGATTCGTATTGATAAGGAGACGTGCTGATTAGTTTTTGGCAAAGGCAGGTCCAGCCGTTCCAAAGATACGGGGCAAAAAGTGCCGAAAACGGTAACTAAGTTTTTAAGAGAACGGTGTGTCCGATTTGAATAATTCAAAAAACTTCATTTTACTTGTATTGACAAGATAAAGAATTAATCAAATTTTCATGAAGGCAGGTTTAACGGTTTCGGAGATTTAATGAAAAAAGTAAAAAAAAATGCCATTTGGCGGTCAAAAATGATCATTAGACATATGCACATTAAATTATCAGATATTTTATAGAGATTTTAACAATAAGTATGAATTTGGTTTAGAGTCCTATGGGTTCCGTATCAATGTTTACGCGTTAGACGGCGACGCGGCGCTTACGCGCTTTCATATTTCGTCTTTATGCAGTTAAAAGTACGATTGCTTTGAAAAAAAGTTTAGATCTTCCAAAATATGTCAAAATAAAGAAATTCAAAAAAAAAGAAATTTAAAAAATTTTTTTTTTTTTTTTTAAAAAAATTTTTTTTTCAAAAAAAAGTAATTTTTTGTCCAATTTATAGTTTCT